AAATCCAAGAAATTATCATTTAAGGTTCTTATGAGTCTACTGAATGAACCCCATTTTTAATATGGCAAGGCCTGCTTGCTCAATGTGCCAGTTGCAAGAACTAGAAGCTAAAGGCCAGCAACATTGATCAACATAAAAGAGCGGACTCCATAGAAGGGCATATCATATTAACATGAATAAAGTGGGAGCAACACAGAAAAGAGAACACAATGTACATAACTATCTTTGAATGTTCATGAAATGGAGCTACAGCTATTGAGTTCAAGGCATTGTCTTTCGGTTTTCTAATTCACTTAACAAACTGTATTGTCACATTTTACATACTTCTGTTGCTAGTTACGTTCTATTTATCAACCAACAATCTGAATTTTGATCATATTTCCAATGAGATTGTTATGGGAATGACTTCAACAAAAGAAAAAGAAGACGTGCAAAATCTCAACTTACATGTGTAGCATGGAACTGTAACCGGAATACCACTTTTACTTTTGTCTTCTCAATATTCCACCTGGAAATCCTCGACATCACCCGCAAATCAAAGTATCATCAGCTGCACCACATAACAAGGATGGTGTCATATCTACATAGATTGTTCATTGTAAACTGTTCCAAAACAAAATCAACTGAAGTTCTTGATTGAAATTTGAAACCCATAACATTTAATCTTAACATATGGTAGTAGAGACATCATAGAATCAAGTGTGCTGAGAAACCATAGCAAGATTAGAATAGGTTTAAAACAGAAACAGATCAGTAAAAAGAACTAAAATTTGACACAACAAAGCAAAACCCACAATGAACTCAGATCCTTATGAAATGAGTGGAGACTAAAACCTCAACTTAGCTCTACAATCTGGGCTACTGAGTTTGACATCACTATTGTTTCAAAAACAAACACAAGATCCAAAGAGAAGGCAATGCAAGAGAATATTTGAGATAGAAGGAAATGATAAAGACATAAAGAGCTAATTCCTGCGATTACCTTGTTCCAGGAGACAAGAAGTTCCCCAAAACAGTTAAAACCAGGGACAACTTCAAAATGTCCACCAGAAAATTCTCTGATCTAAATCCTTGTGGAATAAAAAGAAGTAACAACAAAGAGGAGAAAAGGCAGTAAATTTGACATTTAACATCAAAAAACGACAAAAGGAAAGCAAATATATGCCACTTTCACAGGGACTTTCACCAATGATAAAGAAGAAAAAGGGTATAACACTAAAACAGAATCCAAAATCAAACGCCTACCCAAATGTGAACAAAAAATACAGCACCGCCCCTCGTTTCTTCCTCAAAACGTCACACCAGAAATGACCCAGATTTGATAATGGGAAAAATAACACAAAATTTATCAAAACCCAGAGAACCCAGTTCAGAAAACGTCAGGAAATGCACAGAAAAGAGGAAGAAGAACTGAACCCCACAGAGATGCCAGGTAAAAAAGTTGACATCTTTCACACTCTCTCTCAGATGAATAAAATAACAAAGAACAGAAATGGGAGTAGGTACCTAGCTCCGGATCTGCAGGTGCTTAAGGTTGAAAAAAAAGCAAGGAATCTTTACAGAGAAGCTTCTGTGCATAACCTTCCCGCAAGACAGCTCAAAGCTCAGAGATTTCTGGGTCTTTTTTATTGGTTAAAACTTGGTTGTAATGGGATTTTTGGGAGAAAGTGAGATTTGTGTATTAAAATACAGAAGAAGGACTAAGATGGAATTAAATTAAGGTGGAAAGGAGGTTTGTCTGAAGGTGAAACATCAGCTTTCAGATTTGGGGATTTTGTAATGAAAAAATAAAAAAGACATCCCGCCAAAGCCTGGAGACTTCCGCCCTTGTTTCCGTCAAATTACTTAACAGCTGTTTAGGACAACACAGCATTTGTTTTCGTAATTAATCAATCAAGTACTGTAATTAAACTTATTGTTTATTAATGAGTTGTGGGATGATTTTACTTAAATGCCCCACCGGTTTTATGCCGCTGATTGTTTCAAAAGAGTCAAAGTTAATCGCAAACCCTGACTAATTAAGTCACAAATAATCTCATTTTACTATAAACAAGAGATTAATTTTGTGACAATTTTATTTAATTAAAAATAAAATATTTTAAATTTAAATTATCAGATATATAAGTAAAATGGGTTAAAAAATAAAAAAATCATCTCTTATTAAACAATTAAAGATAAAATAATTGATAAATGAAAAAAAAAATCAAAATTGAACTTGTAACGATAAATAAAAATGTAGACTCAAACTTTCATTAAAAAAGGGGTTTGTCTGCACTTGCAACTTTAATGGCGATGGAAATGCATCTACGTTCTTAACTTTTTTGTCAAAGATTTCAAGCTGCCAGTGCAATAGTAGTGTAACAATTCTCTCATCCCCTTATTTTTCATTGGTCAACAAAAAAAATAGATTTGTCTTGTCGTTCTATTGTTAAAGGTGCATTAATTTTATTTTTTTAATTTATACAAAAAATAAATAAAAATTAATTTTATTTATAATGTTAATGTTACCTACACAACTTGAATTAAATAGTTGATTCTATTAAATTAAATTTTTATTTTTCTCATAATAATTATTTAAAAAAGTATAATTAATATATCATTAATATATAGCTAAGGCATAGAATAGAAAAAAAAATGTAGGTTCAATTTTTAACTTGATAAATCTAAATTTAATAATGTGCAATTATATTAGTGTATTTTAATTGATAAAAACTTGAAATCTCAATGAATGTGAACTTGAATTGAGGATTACCCTACTCTATTATATAGTTTACCATTAAATACACACACAAAAAAAAAATGATGCTTTTTGAATGAGGGAGGAATTTTCAAGTTTTAGGTTAATAAAATTTACAAATTATTTTTAAATATTGATGTGTGATTCAAGTGGTCACAATAAACTTTTTATCACTATTGGATTCAACCATTTTTACTTCTATTTTTCTTTTTCGTTACCCATAATTCCCTTTATACAAAAAAAATTTACAAATTACTTTCATTAAAAAACTTATTGGTTTGGTAACTGACAGTAACCTAATTATTGGGGGAAGAAAAACCAGAAAATATAGAAATTAAAGGTCCAAGTGGCACCAACAAGCTTAAGAGAACATGATGAAAGAAGCGTTTCTTTTCTTCTTCTTTGAGTGACACATATTGTTCATGATTTTCTTTCCTATATTCCATTTTGATTGTTTGTTTCCGGATTAGATTTTCTTAATAAGATCCTTCCCCTTTGATTTGTCTCTCCTGCTTGATTTGGCAGAGGAGAATTGGAGGATGGGTTGAATTGGATCAAACCTAGTGGACTTAATACAGCTAATGCACATGGGGACTGTTCATTTTTTGTGGTTGTGGGAGCGGGGAGTGGGGAGTGGGGAGTGGGGAGCACTGTTCTGTTTTCTCAAAATCTACGTCAGATCAGATGCAACCCGATGCTGCCACCAAGTCCTTTCCTCTTTGTCATGCGGTAAACATAAGCATTCCGTCACGTGACATCAGTAAGAAGCACATGCAACTAGATTTATGTTAATTACATAGTAAAAAATAACTCTATCTTAATTTTTATCGTATTTTATTTATATATTATACAATTCGAATTTAAAATCTCTTATTTACAGTGAAAAGAGATTATTATTAAATTATTTAAGTAATTGATTTAATTTATAAATTTAAATTTAATTTAATTATAAATTAATTATGATTTAATATAATTTTCATTATATCAGAAATTTATTAATAATAATAAGAAGAAGAAGAAGGAAGCTAACGGTGAAGGTAGGGAAATGGCAAGGGCAGTTGGGCTCTTGTCATTTGTTTAGATATTATTTAGATGAAATCTTATGGACCTACTGCACTCACCAACTAACTCCCATTTCATCATCATTCAAGACTTTACGGTTAATTACTTGCTCTTTACTGTCTCAACTTCTAAGTAAAGCTCTTAATTTTCGGCAATTCTAATTGAAAGGTTTGATTCCTTGAAGCAAATATGGAAAGAAAATGTCGTTATTGCATAACTCATATCTTAGCAGTAGAGTGCAAGTTCAAGAGAAGGATTTATTGACCTCTTTTTTCTTATTTATCCTTAAGTGTTAAATTTTATTTTTTGTATTAAATTCTTAATATTTGAAAGTTATATTGAAATTTAATTAATTTGAAATTGAATTATGTTAGATTTAAAAAAAATTTTGACATTTATTTTTTTTATAAGACTCGAAATTAAAATTTTTTTTCTAAATTAAATTCTTTTTATTTAAACTAATAAATTATTAACCTTAAAAGTTAATTTATTGGTAATCAAGTATTCATTTTTGTAAGTTAAGCGTAGATTTCGAGTCATAAAACCACTAGATAAAAATGAAAATAAACATGAAAGGTTATATAGTGTTCAAAAAAAAAAAAACATGAAAGGTTATATATAATATAATATAAAAGGGTTAGTGAACAGTATAGGCCCACCAAAATAGCAAACTAAGCTTTAATGAACAGTGTAGGCCACCAATACCCTACTAAATTAATTTATGGGCCTTAAGTTAACACGATCCAGCATCGGGTGTGGGTGACGGTTAAACTGAGTTTTCATCTGGCTTATGGGCCCTTATCCAAAAACTAGAAAAGCCCAGTTCGATAACAACTCCACTGATCATTTATACGTTCCCAATACAAATATGGTTTTTTCCATTTTTGTGTTTTTTTTTTTCCATAATTAAAAAATTAAGAATACAATACAAACAATTTCTTTTTGTACATAATACAAGAACAATCCTTACTGACAGCTTTTCCCAATATTCTCTCTCTTTTTTTTTTCCTTGTAATAATTGGAAATAAGAATCATAATAAAAATGAAAAAAAAAAAAAAAAAAATCTCATCCTTAGCTTCCCAAAAGAAACAGTAAATTGCCTCTGTGATGCCAAAAAGCTAAAAGGCCAAAAGCAAAGAAATCTCTCCAACTACTTGCTTTGATTCCCCCATGTTTGCTCGGAATGTTTCGGAGCAGAATCTGCAGAAGAAGAAACCTTAGCAGAATGGTGGTTCTTCCTTGAAACCCAGAAGAAACAACCACTTTGGATTTCCTTCTCCTCACGATTATCACCCATTTCCGGTTGACCCTTTTGAAGTTTCTTCATCTTCTCCTTGTACAGCGACCGCATCACGTAAGCCTCCGCTAAGCTATCTCCACCGAACCCAACTCCAGCCATTGCCATTTTTCAGATGCGAAAGGTAGATACTGTGTAGAAGAAAGTAAGAAGAGATGGAGAAGTTATTGGAGAACGTGGTTGTATGGGGTTTGAATTTATAGGCACCGCAGGCGGCGTATGAAATGGACGAGGTTTGAGTGGGGAGCAAGGTGTTTGATGATATGCCTGACTTGGTGACCAAGGAATTACTTAGCCCAGAAGGCTTAATTTGACTTCTCTACGTGGTGAACAGAGATCCACAAAACGTGTAACGCGAGCCGCCTTCACGCTTTATAATATTTTAACGGGGGTGTTTCGTCAGCAATTATGTAAAAAAAGCTAAAGTCGCTCTCCGCCTTGGAAATTAGGTGCGTCAGCAATGATATGGCACTTGGTGGCGGTGTGTCAGCTGTGAGATGCGTGGACCCTTGCGCTGTGAACCATTTCTTCAGGCTTGTTTTGCAAGCTTCAGCCTCAGCCTCAGCAAGGAAAAATTTTAATGTAGTAGCCAATTAGAAGAATGAAACATGAATTAGTTTAATAAAATTTACTTCTACATGGCAAAATCTTTTATTGATAGATTAAATAACTATTTTTTTTTTTTATTTTAAGTTCATCCTTACCTAGTGTTTAAATATAAAATATAAAAATAAGAGATAATTTTATAATATCAAAGAATTAACTTTGATACATATACGAGTTAATACATATTAATTTTACATTTTAAAAATTAAAAAACTTATTTTAAAAAAACCCAAAACACTTTAATCCAATTATTAAAAATAGAGTATTTTAATTTTTTTAATAAAAATTTATTAAAATTATATAGTTTGAGGATAATTTTTTTTTTAAAAAAATAAAAATAAAACAGATAGGTATTATTTACACACCTATGTATAAACTTGTAGAACTAAAAACCTTTATCTTTTGTCCATTAAACAAGAAGACAACAAATAATTGATCACAAATCCGATTTCCAAGCAGCCAACACAAACCATGTGATATACCTTGTGCTTTTTGCATCATTCTCCAATGTCAATGCTCGGATGGGGAAGATCTTCTTTGATTCAAAACAATCACCCGGTTTCTATGATTCAAAACCATCAATCTCCTCTGTTTTTTTTGCCTTTTTCTTCCTTTTTATCTCTTTCTCGATTTCTCCTTGTAGACGCTAGTTTATGCTAAGTTGCTATAGTATACATATAATTAAAAAAAGACAAGGGATAACGGATTGATATATAAATATGATAGTTAAACAATAAAAATTAACCTTTGTTTTTACAAATTTCAACAACATTCCATTCAGTAACACACAATAGACACAACATACAACAGTTTCTTGTTCCTCTTGTTTGGATTACAAGAAAAAAAAAAAAAAGAGAGAAGAAAAGAAAAAACAGATTTTGCAGAAAGATAGAGTGCAAGCTAACTTCAAAAGCTGGGAAATCAATATGCCATCGATGTTTTCAATCACCCTTTAAAGTGATCAGAAGTGTCTTCTTCCTTTGCATCATTTTGCATTGTCGAAGGTCGGACTGGATGGATTTTCTTGAACATCGATAAGAAACAACCATCATGACCAGGTTTTTGGGCTTCAAAATCAATCTCTTCCACCTTTGCTCTGTTTTCCTTTGCTTCTTCTTCCATTTTCCTCAGCTTCTCCTTGTATACCTTCCGCAAAACATACGCTTCAGCGAGAACCTGCCCAGGAGTTGCCATGGAGTCAGCTTCAGTAGCAATACAAGCACAGAGTCTCAGTCTCAGAGATAGCTAAAATTTTATGCCTGGAAATGGGTTTCTGTGGGTTGATTTATAAGGGAATCAAATTGGCTTGGGGAGCAAGAAAGTATGCATTAAATTAATATTTCTGGGTTGCTTACTAAACTGTCATACTTCAGAAAAAGATAAAATGGAGATGTGTGGAAATGATGTCCTCATGCTTGATGACAAAGGTACACAGATTATATTTGGTAAATTTTGTAAATGTT